TCTCGTTTTGAACCTTCCACGTCTGCACTTGTGTTCACAAGGGGTGGTAAGCCTTTCTCAATGGTTTAGGGCGTCGAGCTAGTCTCGGAGGCTACTTGCAGCTTCTTAGCCATACTCTTTGTAACTACGCCCACACTTGATGAATCCGAAGCAGCAGTCTTCCTTGCGAACGTAGAGCAGTCACTGCAAAACTTCGATGATCTGAGAGAGAGAAAAGACATGATCGAGAGGTAGAGATGTCCCACTGGGCATGCCAAAATTTGTAGCAACAAAATCTTATCTGCGATTTAAACAAACAAGAAAGAATTGCACAAATATAATTTTATTGAATTAAAAATAAATATTGCGGGTTACAAACTCTAATTTAATCCTCTCATTCTTCTCTCAAGAACAATATATGTTTGACTTTGGATATTGGAGACGGGTCGTTGACTTGATCTTCTCCGGGTTTGATTTTGAACTTGAATAACGTTTTCCGAGGGTGTTGTGACTTGAATCTCGGATCGAACGTTGAACTTTGACGAGTTTTGACTTGAACGTCTTGGAGTTCTTCGAGCTTTGACTTGAAGATCTTGGATTTCTTGATGAATTTGGTCCTTCAATCTTCATTCGATCTTGATTTGTTGAAGAACACCCTGAATTTGATGAAGAATGCTTGAGATGTTGTAGAGAGAATTTTCTTCTACGGTTTTTCTTCTTCTTGAGTTGTCTTTGAATTGTGAAGGGAGGCTCCCTATTTATAGTGGTAGAAAAAGAGTCCTTGATGAGCCTTCTTGATGACATGGCGCGATTTGATTGGCCCGATGTAAATTGATATTTATCTCTTATAACTTGGAAGAAAACAAATAATTCTATTGGTCAAAGATTAATTGATATTTATCTCCATGACTTATTTTGCAAAACAAATTATAATATAGGAATTCGATTTTAATATAATATAAATTATATTAAATTTATGCATCTACAGATGGATTGATGAAAATTATATTATGAGGAGTATTTTAGACGAAAAACATGGGGATGAGTTTATTTGCAAGGAGTATTTTAGACGAAAAACATAGGGATGAGTTTATTTGCGAGACTGCTTTTTGTGTGGACCTATGTGTATTTACGTCCCTTGTCATAGGCCTATTTGCCATATTTCCTAGTATTATTTGTTCTTTTTCCAAGTATAAAAGATAAGTATCAATTTAAAAAGGGTCAATCAAATCGCGACACGTCATCAAGAAGGTTCTGAAGGACTCTTGTTCTACGAATATAACTAGAGACCCTCCATACTCAATTAAAAATACAATTGAAGAAGAAGAATAAATCCTATGAAGATTTTATCTCAACAACAGCCTCTTCAAGCTTCCCCTCTATAGCCTCTCCAGGCTTCTTCTCTCTATCCTTATCTTTATCATCTCCGGGTTTTTCTCCAGCTTCTCTTTATCGTCTACACGATTCTTAAAATGTTCCGCCCACTCATCACCCTCAGCTTTCAAACGTTCAAAACATTCTTGAAGTTCTGCCAATTTTTCAACTGCTTTCCTCTGAACCTCTAAACCAAAAACTCTTTTCTCGACCTGCTTATAGGTTTTAAAAGAGATCGTACTCTTCCAGAAGATTTGGATGTTCCTCATGCCGATAGTGACACACGATAGACTGATGCCTCCTATGATGTGCCAGAACTACACTCTCATTTCCATTATCTCTTTCTCCAGTGAGATCACCTTCTCATGAATGACCACCAATTCTGGATTGGTGGCTGCAGCTGGAACAGGATCAGGCACAGTCGAGAGACTGGCTCAAATCCGGCGGGCGGCAGGGGGGTGGATACCGGAGAGCAGCCTTGGAGTAGAGTGCCTCATACAAAATAATTTTCAACATTTCGATAAGAAATGTTGTTTTTTATAGTTCTTAAGATAAAATTAAATGTAAATATAAAAATTCAAGTTCACTAGTTTCATTATTATATTTAATTTAATATATAAATCTCATAATACGTTTATATGTATGTCGTATTCTATTTATGATCATGATTTCGAATTTCTAGGGCAGGATCATATGATCTATTGCGAGAGTATCTCGACAGCGATGGTGTCTTTAATATGTTACCCAGTTGTAGAGATGCATCGGCTAGAGAGGGTGGTATGATAGTTTGGTATCATACAATCCATACCTGCAGATCCTGAAAACCGCGAAACACACTTTCAGGGGCATGCCTCTAGACAACATGAAGGTACCACCAGCCGAAATTGGAGATCAACACATGCTTCTTATATCATTGCAAGGGAGCAGAGACCGCACTATAGTGTTCGTTATTCGTCTGCAAATAATGGATCTACTATTGAGCCTGGTTATAATGAGTGGTGTGACTTGTACACTCGTTAGTTCATATCATCAATTACCTGAGTGCAGGTTTTCCAAGTTGGAGGACATATTTCTATGAATACAGTGGTATGCATTTAAATTTAGTTAGTGTATTTTCTTTTTCTTTTTTCGTGTCAAAAAGAATATATATTATATAAATTATCATATTTTGGTTAATCTCAAAGCAGTAGCTTCAATCGTTAATCATTTCTATCGAGGACGGATCCATTCATATTGGGCCGAACTCTTCATATTGGGTAATATATATATATATATATATATATATATATATATATTAGATGTATGCTAATGTGTATGTGCATGGTCTCTTTGTGTTATATTATGTGGATGTATGCATGGTCATATGCTATGATATATATGTATAGAGATTTATTTATGTGACAAATATATATGTGTACCTATGCTTTATGTACTTAAAGACACACACCCCCTCACATGCTCTCTTTTCTTCTCTGCCAACACACCCCTATAAGCCTTACTTATTAAGCAATTGATATTTTTTATATATAGACATCTGTCTTTTAAACGGACGAGTTGTTAAATA